CCCGCCAGCCCTGCGGACTTTGTTTTCGACTGTCCTCCGGGCGATGATAAACCCTTATCGGGTATCAGGCCGGGTAGCGCGAGGACCCCGGTGCCCGCCACCGCGACCCTGGGTCCCGAAACGCCCCCGTAAGCAGCCAACGCCGCGAGATCCAACGTGGTCACCTGCTGGCTCTCTTTATCGGACAAGTTTCGCTATTCTTCCCCCTCTTGTACTATTAGACGTCCTATTTTATCGTTGATCAGATGCGTCGATCTTGTTTATCACTAATATCGCGTTACACTTGCAACACCAATAGCTTCACTCCAGACAGAGTAGGTTCATACGATGTATCTTTGCTTCTTCGACATTTATGTTATTGATGTCACAAAGGAGAAACGTCTTTACAAGTACAAAATATCCTGTGGATGTTTATTATCCTTCGATATCACAGTATATTCCTGAAGAAACACTACACTGACAAGCACAGATATGTTCCTCCGACACGTTCCGAACGTATCCCAGTCTCGCACGGTCACCGGCTCTGCAGTCACTCGTTACATGAATTTATCAGTCGCGTCCATTACACGAACACTTCCCGATAGATATAGTTATTAAACGGAACAGCGTGACAAACACGTATGGTCGTTATTATCGCATAGTTCCTGCCTCCGCTTCCCGTGCAATTCACCTGTCATCGAATCAGACTGCCAAACACCTCGCGTCGATTTCTCTAATTGCCACCAGCGCCAACTGTCAGCTGTTTTACAGACGATTGGTCCACGCGTTTTTCACCGCGTAGAATCGTGCACCTTGCAGCCCGCGAATATTCAAAAATCCTACTGTCCCTCTGACCTGTCATCAACGTGTCAGACACAGCGTCACCCATCAGTGAACTCGCGAACAGTTTCGATGCTCTCCGGCAGAACGTACGCGAGCATGTTCGATCGTAAATCTCTCTCAAAATCCTTTCGATTCCATTGCAAACCGTCACGATATCACTGTGTCACATTTGAAGCTGGCGAATATCTCCCGTGGTTCCGCGTTCCACACGTGCGATACCGTTTCGTCATAAGTTTCACACACACCGCACGACTCAGCTTTCCCCTCGGTCGTTCCTCGAGGTGTTCGCGGTGCGAGATCGGTGGAAAGAGCAAAGTATCGTTATCGCAGGAACACGAGCATCCGCGACGAGCTACGGCGGCGGC